AAAAAAGATATTTAATAACTGACACTTTACCTCAATGTACAGTAGTGTAGAGACATGTCTCTTTGATATTCAAAATCACAATCAAATTATTATTAGTAGTAGTAGTTGTCATTTATAGAATACTAGCTATGTACCAGGCACTGTAAATAAGCACTTTGCCTATATTAATCCTTTTTAATCCTTCTAGAAACTCTGTAAAGCAATTATTATCCCATTTTGCAGATGAAGAAACAGTAGTACAGAGATATTAAATAATGTTCTCCTAGGGGCACAGCTATAACTGTTGAAGCTGAAATTTGAATTCACATACGTTAGACTTCTTATCTTCTTAAAGATCTTGTCATTACCTGGTATACAGACTACTGGTCCACCCAAGTTTTCACTGACTCTGATTCCAGGCATCGGACAAAGATTTTTGGGAAATTTCATTTTAATTCCATACTTTATGGCAGACACTTCTCTGAATTACATTCTATTTATATTGAGTACATTTCACATTTATACTCTTAATTTAATAGTTTTAATAATTACTATTTAGTAGCAATTATTTTCATTTTATTTGTTTATTATTAATAACCTGCCTGCTTTGAAAACTTATTTCAAATAAGCTTTCAATCCCGAAAAGATACTCTCAAACACCCTGAAGCAAGAATGAAATAACAAGAAGAAAAATGAAAACCAGGATTAATTACAGCGGAAACCTAGGCTGAGGGACACTTAATTTTGCACTTCCTTTTAGCCGAGTCATAAAGAAAAAGGTGGTAGGTGATCTATCTTGTATTAATTGAAAACTTGCCAAATGGGAAAACAATGATGTCTTATTCTATAAATGTTTTGAAAATTAATAATGTTCATAATCAGAATATTTAGGTAAAAATTATAAATCTGCCTTTTCTTAGTTTCAATACCACTTTTGAATGTAGGATGAAATTTTTAATTATTGAAACAATGTAAAATTACCATTTGCCTGGAAAATATCGAAGGAAAAGAGCCACAAGCCTATACTCTAAATACAAGTACAATAATTTCTATATTTCCCTTTTTGTTCTTTTTCAGGAAGCAAATTTCTATCCGTTTTTCCTACTTGTAAGCATAGTAGGAATGCCTGCTTTCAGTGATATGTTTTTCCTATGTTGCTACAAAGTCCTTATAATTATTATTTTACTGGTTGCATAATATGCCATTAAATAGATGTAGCATAATTTCGGTAATCATTTCTCTGTTTGTGGACAACTGAGATACTTCTTATTTTATAGTACAAATAAGGATTATAATGAATAATTATCTTAATTTTCATTTAAATAATTTATAACATTTATTTAATTACCTTTCACTACAAATCTCTTATATGCATAAAATAAATTTCTTGAAGGCAGGAACAATATAGTTTTTTCATTTTCTTTTTCCCAAAATCTAGTAGCTTGAAAATATTAAGCGCTTCCTCAATAATTTAATGAATAAATCATAGGTAGCATTTGTAGCTTGAAAGTGGCTGAAATAGAGAGTCTTTGATATGCTCCTGTTGGAAAGTATAAGAACCTATGCCCACCTTCAAACAAAAAACTTTAAATTTAAATTTAAATGAATAAAATAAGGATCCCAAATAGTACTTTGAGAAATTAGAATAGTAAAAGTCTTGAGGACAGGGCTCCATGTCGGCTACAGAGTAATCGCCTCCTGCTCCTGCGGCATGCCCCTCACCCTCTCCTTTTTGTCCTGCCATTTGGAGTTTCAAGCACAGAGAGAAGTGATTCTATTGATACTGCACTGAATAAAAATCCATGCAGTAAACGTGTGATCCACCCATCTATGGGCAGAAAGGGACCCTTCTCTGGTACTGTGTGTAATTGTTGAATGCATCTGTGCGCTCACTTAAAGCCCATCTGTACCCTGCTACCCAAACGTGCCGTCCTGCTCTCTCCAGTCAAGTCAGGTGCTCGGAGCAGCCGGCTGGGGCTCAGACTGTAGAAAAGCGCCTCTTTTAAACATTAGGAGTAATTTTTTTTTCAATCAACACATGATTACTCAAGATGTATAATCATAACAACTCTAATTCTTTTCAATTTACTATTAGAAACTTTTTTTGTAAAAACTAAAATATATATTAGTGTCTTGGAATAATTGATATTTTTTTCAGCAACATCAAATCTGCACTATTTATGGATTTTGTGCTATAAAACTCTGCAGCCCAGTCACATGGCTTCTTTTTCCTAAGCCATCTGTCACAGAGGTCTGGAATTTTATGTGAATGTTGGTTGTGCAGTCTTAACCCAAGTTTTTATTTTTTTTTATGAAAAATGTCAGCTACTATAGTATTTAGCATTTTACTTTACATTGGTTATTAAACTTGATTACTCTATCTCTGTTTCATTGCTTCAATTACATATGAGCTATGAAGCCAATAATTGTTTTGATATGTTCATGGCAGAATACATTATTATATCACGGAGAGAGAACATGGCACTGATACGGTTAATATCTTGGATTTTTGTAACTAAGGTTTATTAATGCTGGTATAAAAATGTATTTGATTTTATACAGATGGCATAAGATGTTGTGGTTACTAAGTTATTATCCTGGATAAGCTGTACTGTCAAATTCAGGGCTTAAAACTATCACAGGAGATTAAACTATTTACTAAAAAGGACAGAAAGATACGGCCAAAGCATCTTAGTACAAACATATTAGAAGTGTATTTACCTCCCATGGATATAATAAAGCATATCTATCTCATAGGCTGAGAGATTGAGAATAGGAACTTTGCAGATAAAACAAACAAACAGAAGAGGTGCTTTTATTTTCTAAATCAGGGGCAAGCAGTGAGTAAGCACTGAGCCCAGCTACAGTGGACCATACTGCAATGGCAGCTGTTGGGGTGGGGGTGGGGATAGTGAGGAGGTGAGGGCACAGTGTAAACGTGGAGTTAAAATAAATCCCCTGGGAAGTAACGGGCTACCACATGCATTAGGGATTTTGCTAACGTTCAAAGAGGACTCCTGCTTTGCCAGCCAAAAGAAAAAAGAGTGAACAAGTTGTCCAGAAGTTAAATGTGAGTTGATAATGATGGTGACTCACTTAGGAAAATGACAATCATGTTCTTCCCAAATTCTGAGAGATATTGCCTGGCAATGTTCACAATTTATGATGCCATAGAAGCCACTCTACAGCATGTACCTTGCAAAATATCCAGAGCACATGGGCACATAAAACTAAAAACAAACAAACAAAAAACTCCACAAATCTTAGCCAAAGGCATTCCAAAAATAAATGTTGTGAGAATTAGTTTTAAATCTCATACTTCATATCTAGAAAATAATCACTTATATTCTGAAGTTTTCACTGTAAAAGTTAAACCCTGAACAGTCACACTAGCAGTTGCTACCTAAAGGCCCCCAAAGTGAATTATGGTTTGTACATCTGCCTCCCCTAACCTGCCCCTCACAATTTAATGAAGCTTTTCTGGTTCAAATAACCCAGGATAAAATGTTACTTTCGTATTGATCTAATATTCCAATAAAAATTCTCTTCCAGCTGGTTATTTTTACATATTTCTCATGTTAGATTAATATTGTGATTTGGGGGAAGGGTGAAGTAGTATTGTGCCTTGTTATAAGCTCAAGTATTAATGCTTTAAATTATGAATTGGGAGTGATAATTCTGCAAACTAGGAAAGAAGATTTAATGCTAAACTTAAAAACGTGTATAACAGGTTTAGCCAATACATTTAGTACTTGGAACATCTTATTTATATTAGGCTTACTTTGTTTAAACCTAGAAACAAGAAGCTCACTAATGGGACTGCTCTTAAAAGTCTGCCTAAGAGTTGAACATTAACCAAAGCAAATCAGAAAGCTAGATTTAAAATCAGATATACTTACATAAAAGCTTGCATTTAAAATTATCCCTTAAAAGCCCCACATGGCTAGGCTATAACTGCAAACTGCTTAAATGTTTTTCTGTTTCCTATTGTATACCAGGGAGCCGAGATAGAAGTGGATGAAAATGGCACATTGGACTTAAGCATGAAAAAAAATCGAATCCTGGACAAAGCTGCACCCCTAACTTCCTCTAACACTTCTATTTCAACTCCTTCCTCTTCCCCATTCAAAACAAGCAGCATTTTGGTCAATGCAGCATTCTATCAGGCTTTCTGTGACCAAGAGGGCTGGGATACTCCTATCAACTATAGCAAAACTCATGGGAAGACAGAGGAGGAGAAAGAGGTATTGTTTCCATATGTCAATAAGTTTAAGAGAATGGTTGGAGAGTATTATTAGCTTTTTCCTCCTAAACTTTTTTACATTCCTGTTTAGATAATACATTCTTCTGTACCTTGTTTTAGATTTTGGTAAAGTGATCATTTTAGATTTCAGAAGAAATTTATAAATGAATCCAACTTTTCCTATCACTTGCCTAAAATGATATGTTATTATAGTGAATTTTATCCCCATACGGCTGTAATTATGTGTACTGCATGAGAGATTGTATTATATATCCCTTTAGATACAGCTGCCTTAAGGGGCAATGTATCATTCAATACTGAAATGCCAGCTTAGGAATTCTTTCTGAACCAGAGGATAGAAGATGAAATCAATTCAGGGATAAATAAAAATCACATCAAATTCATTTACTCAATTTTATGAAGGAATTGTGTTAGCATAACTGTATGGTTGGCCTTCCTGCTGTATAGTAAACTTACAATGGTTGCATCTGTACTGAAGATGTACAGACTTTTTTTCTTGTCATTATTTCCTAAATGAGGTGGTATAACAACTATTTACACAGCATTTACATTGTATTAGGTATTATAAGTAATCTAGAGATGATTTAAAATATATGGGAGGATGTACGTAGGTTATATGCAAATACTACGCCATTCTATATAAAGGACTTGAGCATCCATGGACTTTGGTATCTGAGGGGGTCCTGGAACCAGTCCCCTATGGATACTGAGGGAAGACTGTGTACAGTCATTGTCTGAGGTATTGGATCACGAATGTTGGATATCTGAATTATACCAATTCCAAAATCAAGAAAATGCATTTGTGTATTTGGTTATCTTCAAGGCAGTTTCACTCCTGAAAGCCAGATGTTGTGACTGTGCAGGAATTCATGTAGCCTTCATCTCCATAGTTTGAGCCACCTGGCTTGGCCTAATTAGCATGACTTACTGTCATTCAAAACAATTCATAGCCAGAACCCTCTGTAATTTAGACTCTATATCACTGCAAATGTGACCCAAATTATTACAGTAAGTGATTCTGTTTCACTGTTTGTCAGAGAAGTTATTGATACTTGTTAGTTTACACGTTTAAAGAACTGAAATGGCCATTCTCTTTGGAAGCGTGCGTCACCTTTTTCAACTTTTTGAAGTTAAGGGACTTTGCAGAAGAGACTAATTTGATTTTATCATATGCCTTAACATCTCAGAGCATAAGTTGACAAAAACAGTAGTAATCACAGGATTGGGTTATTTCCAGTCCCCTTCTGCCCCTCCCTCCCTCTCTGCCACCTTTTCTTCCTTCCTTCCTTGAGCACACTTTCACTGGTGTCTATATGTCCAGGCATAAGATAGGTCCTGTGGACGCAGCACCAAAGAGGACATGCCTCCACCACATGTGTGCTCATTCTGGTAGGAGGACTGACAAATAAGCAAACACACTGACAAATGGAGTAACGTGAACAGGCACAGAACATAGAAAGGAAGAAATGGCCAACTCTATGTGCCGTGGTTGAGGTCAGGTTCCTGAAGGAGTGCCCCCAGGACCCAAGGCAGGCTCTCTGTCGTCACCACACACACCTTCACAGAAAAGGGAGAAGGAAATTTATACAACAGCAGCTTCTGATTAGATTCTGTCGTACTGGTCTTAGTCATTTTATTCCGCTTGGCTTTTTAAAATTCACCTAACGTATTGAGGAATGGTCTTAATTAATCTATCATAAAATTATTTTAGAAGAATAGTTTCTTAAACTATGTTTGACTTTAATAAGTATAAAACTGACACTTGCAAAGTATAAAAGCTGGTTCGCCTTAAGCGACGACCACAAACTGGCAAACATGTGTTCGTTCCTTCCCTCCACCACATTCCCACTGCTGTCTTGCCACTTCAGGCTTGTGCAAAAGAACAGAAGTTTCACCTGGCTTCCATCTATTTTTATAATCCAGAAATCTGGTGATAGTCACATTAACTGATCAAGCACAATCACGATGAGATCATAAGTGTTGATTCAATCTCATTCTATACAAGTCAGCCTTAGAAAAGGGAGGTTTACCCTCCAATTCACAGGGTCTCCAGCTGATCAGATTGTGGTATAGCCCACCTGCACAACTAATGGGGTCTTAGTCTCCAGCTGATCAGATTGTGGTATAGCCCACCCTGCACCACTAACGGGGAACCAACTCCTAGTTACAAGATCTGTTGGTGGGGTTCAGTAAAAGTCATACGAACAACAGTGCTTTACAAGGTAAGCATGACTGCATCCTTATTCTTGGATGATTCCTACTAGGGTAAAACCCACTGTGTTTCAGAGCATCTCAAGGTCATATGCAGGGTAAGACTTAGGCTTCCTGTCCTCATCCTTGCTATAAGTGGGCCATGGTCAATGTTCACCAGAAATCTTCTTTCTATTCATATGCAGAATCAGACATACAAATCTAGTCCTGAGACATAATGAAGCAAATTTGAGAAAAGTGGCTCTCATTTCCATTTAGGGTCTTGTGTTGTTTGGCATTGGCTATAAATTTTTGCCCTCAGGAGCAATGTCAAATTGCTTCTCCTTTATTCTGAGAGACTTCTCCCATTTGGGGGTCTAGTTCGTATATCAGGGACCTCCTTTGCTACACTTCTTATCACTCAGCCAGAAATTGAAGTCTTGTAATAAATATTTTAACTTTACTTTCCAATCTTATTTTTTGCATAATTTTAAAAAACATCTGGATTCACCTGGGCAGATTTATGGATCCAACTGGAGTATGTTCTTACCTAATGATTATATGTCTGTGACTGTGTTTTATTTCCCAGGAAATTTATGGGGAAAAAATGGATTGGTTTAGATTAGATTTCTGCTCTTTTCAGAGTGGCTTACTTCAGGTATGATAGTACAGACTTTCACTGCTCTGAATGGCAACCTAAGTGTTCTGAAATCTGAACTTAGAAACTATGTAGAAATTCAATGTCATTAAGAATAACAAAGAGAAATTTGAAGATGCTAAGTGAGTTCTTAGAGTCAAAGTGCTTGCCCTAGGTTTGAGTTGGCAAAAGATTTTTAAAGCTTATTCTCACAGTTATCTGAATATGGGTGACTCATTGCTGGGGGAAGCTACAGCCATTGAAGACACACACAAGAATGCTTTTGGAATACTGTGACTCCTGAGTACACCTTCTCACCTTTTGTTCTTTGTTCCATAGTCTGTGCCAAGGTAGCCTACTAATAGAGAGTATTTTTCATATCTTGTTCTGAATCTTAAAACAGAAATGTGATACTTGATAGGTATTATTTTGAAAAAAGTAAATTGCGTTTATTGTCCTCATTGCAAAAATAGCAGAGGGCTATCGTGTCCAGTAAGAATAAAGATAAGGGATCTTTATAGAAAGTGTCTCATTATCCTAACAATCATCATCAAAGTTTTTAGAGGGGACAATTGAGCCTGGGCCTGGGATTCCCTAAAGAGGAGGAAAAGAAGGGAGAAAAAAAGAGAGAAAGAAAAGAAAAAAAAAATACATCCCAAAATGGAGACAACTAGGAAATATTGAGAAAAATTAGAAAGGGAAGAGAAAATGAGAATAATGAAGAAATCGTATGTGGCAAGGTGTGGTGGAGGCAACCGTGGTCTACAATACTTCTATGACAGTAGGATCTAGATCTGCAGGATGTGACCAGGGATTTGTCCATGCTTATCATTTCCAGTGAGATGTACTGGGATGGCTGCACACAGCCTAGAAGACTGGCTTGTAATCTGTTCTTGCTTCCACACCCACATCCTTCCTGTTGCCACCTCTGCAACATCCCCACACCACCCCTCCCCCTGCATCTCACTCACACACACACACACACACACACACACACACACACTCACACACACACTCACACACACACACACACAGAAATCGAGTGATTATTTCTAATTCATTGTTATCTAGCTCATATGCACAACAGTTGCTTAATTTTGGTGGTAATTTTCAGAAAATATTGTCTGTCTCTCTCAGTGAAATAGCCTGTCCAGATGCCCCCTAAAAAAAATCCTGAATCTGGAAAAAACTCAAAATATCTCAAAAGGAAAATACTGAGAAATAACTAGGGCTGTCAGTTTCATTCAACTGTCAGTTCTCCAAAGATTTCAGGGCTTAAAATGTTAAAAGTGCCAGATGCTATTATCTGTTATTCATGTTACCATTATGTTCTGATCTTTACTGAAACCAATATAAACTTCCATCTGTACGTTAAAGAAATTTTATTGTATCCATATACTCTCTAAACACTTACATATATGTCACATTCTCCTTTACATATCCATAAGATGAAATTATTATTTTCAAAATGATACTTTAAATTTTGAAAAAATTCTCATAAATGATACTAGCTTATTTTTTACTAGGTGCTATTTAGGAATTTATCTGATATAAAATATCTCTGTAACAAAGTTAAAAATTCTCTTAGTGATGGTCACCTTCATTCTAATACATATGCTTGCTACAAGTTTTTTAAGGGTGGTATGTTAAGCAAGGAAAAGGGAACAAGACAATTCATAATGCAATTGCATATATAGCAGTCTATAGTTTTTAAAAGAAGTTACAAAACACTTGAAAGATCATAGCCAATGAAATTACCTTATTTAAACATTACCACAAATTAATATACCAAATTAAATACAATATATTCTGTAAGCATTATATTTGTATGTATTTTAGTCAAATAATAAACTTTCATAATTGCTAATTTTTTTCAAAATCCCCTATTCCCTTGCTTTCCATAATGTGTAGATTCAGCACTCAAACAACAGCTGATAACCTTTATATGTTCATCTATAAATGTGCAGACCTTCTTAGAGATACTTTATTCTTAACTTTATAATAAAAAGAAAATAATTGAATGTTTTTTTTTTTTTACTGTATGCCATTTTTGTGAAAAATTTAGCATCTAAACAGAAAAACAAAGGTTGTTCCACACTGAGACTTAATATTGGATTTAGCATTTGTATCTAATTTCCGAAAGCCAAGACATTTATGAATTACAGTGGAAAATACTACCTAAGCTGAATCCAGATAACACCAAATGTAATGGATGGTGGTATTTTTAGATTTAAGGTCTTTTTGGAAATTGCTTCACTTTAGGCATTTCCACAGTAAAACTTGAAAAGTATAAGTATCATTCATCTATTTGCTACTGACTCCATGGAAGCAGCCATTAAAATAGCGTTTCTCTTTGTATCTTAGTAGGCAACTATTATCAAGCACCCATTTCTCTGTTTTTAAATGATATATTATTATCTGCTACTATTTTCAAACATTTATCAATAAAATAAAATGGAATACTTAGCACTATAAATAGTATGAAGAAATTGTACCAAAGTAGGTTTTATTAATTTGGTCTGAAGATAATGTTCCTTGAGATAATTTATTAATGTATTTACCACTGTATGGTCTTGTGTAAAATAATTGATTGAATTGTTATCTAAGTGATTAATGAAAGAAATTACATTTACCTTTATGACTGAGATCAGGGTTTAAAAATTTTTTTTGGCTGGAAAAATTCAGAGATTTTGTTTTCCCATTGTTTTTGAGTGTAGACTCAGGATTATTATAATTATATTTTGCCATTGCATTTTTATTTTCATTTGATTTAAATAAGATTTACCTTGAAAAATTCAAAATAGTTTTATCACCTGAAATAGATTGCTACTTTTGAGAATTAGAGTAGTTTTTCATATTAATCTCATTTTAATATTAAATCCAGAAAATATTATATTTACTAGATTTAAACTTAATGATAAAGTAAACTAATTATGTGATTATCAAAATCCATCATTAATATTCTGTAAGATAATATATCAGATGGTAAATAAATGATTTGAAAGGATTAATGAATCTTCCTTATGAAATCAAGATCAGTATTAAGCTTAAAAGGAGGCCATGAAAATTAATGATAATCCGACAAGAAATTTCATCCAGCAAGTAAAAGCATTACAAGATACCAGTTTAGCAAAAGAGGCAACTTAAGAAATACAGGAAGAGAAGTGAGGATAAAAGCAATTACCCACAAAAATCAAATTAAATGCTTAAATATTGAATACCCAGTTATTACATATTGAAACAAAAAATTTAAATCTTAATTATTTGTATATTAGAAAGGACATTCTGTTGATGTAAATTTACCTCTTTGTTTAAAAATTTGTGTGATTTATTTTTGCAATATTTCTTTGTTTCGCCAATGACTGCTGTGTACACAAAGAACTAGTCCTATTTTCTCTAGGAAACATTCATTATATAATAAAACCTGAACTATATTAAAACATTAACTTAATTATATAACTCAAAGAATTCCTCTGTAGTTACATTTGCCAATATGTGAAATTTTTAAAAGTGTTCCCATGTATTATAATTTCTCATTCTTCACTGAAGACAAATGTCCATAACAATCAAGATATATCATTATCTTATATATTTGTGTACAAATCCTAGGAGGAATTTCAGCTAAGTCTTTAAGCAAAAATTCAAGTTTGACACTGATGACTTCAAACACAACTGTCTTTCTAGGGTTCCCTAATGACTTCTGTGCTTCTGTATTTTTTTTCTCCAGAAAGATCCAGTGAGCTCTCTAGAAAATTTAGAAGAAAAAAAATTTCCTGGAGAGGCCTCCATACCAAGCCCTAAACCCAAGCTCCATGCAAGAGATCTCAAAAAAGAACTAATCACGTAAGTGATTCAAAATGGCATACTCTGTGAGATTCTGGAAATAAGAGATTTAAGTTCATAATTTTAAGTTATAACATCTTGGCTTATGTAATTGACTTAAGGAATGTTTTAGGGCAATTTCAACCAGTCAATTGTTAAATATTATATATACATCTAAACCCGTTGCTCAGAACTAAGAGGCTTATGCAAAAAAAGTATACATGGCATGATCTCATGCTAAGAGAATTGAAAGTCTAATTAATTAAAAAAAAAAAACAATATAAAACAATTAGAAATGTTTATGTTTTGATCAGAAATTCTTAATCTGAGATCTACTGACCCCAGATTATCTAAATCAGAGCTTTGGGGAGTTTATAAACCTTTTCAAACTTAATGCAAATTGCTATTTGGGTAAAATAGTTCATGGTTTTCATCACATTCCCCACGGGTTCTGTGACTCAGAAGAGTTTACAGACCAGAGCACCTGACAGCAGTAAGTAGTAGTTAAGACTACAGCAGAGTTCTGAGTGGGATGGTAAGACACCCCGAGCAGAGTCATGGCTTCTTGGAACAGAAGGCCATGAGCTGAGCCCTGAACACCAGCCAGACCTGGAGAGAATGCAGACACAGAATCCAGCAGGACGGACGAGGGTCCTCAGAAGCGTGGCCTGGTGGCAGGTTTCGCATGAACAAACCATATAGTGTTGGAGCAGAAAAGCAAACAGTATGTAGCATTTTAAGGAGAGCAGTGTGCAGACTTATGTTGAGACTGGATGCATCAGGGGCTGTCTGGAATCAGGAAGATCATCTAAAATGTTGCTGTAGAGATTTAGATGATGTGTAGAGGGAGGAAGTATAGAAAGAAAAGTGAAGAGTGGTCAACACAAAATTAGAGGACCCACATTCTGCTGGAATCTAAGACGGAAAGAAAAAATAAAAAGACACAAAGAATACAGAAATGAGGACACTTAGAGGAAGATAAATAAGGAAATGATTGTCATGGAAGCTATAAGCTGAAAAATCCCCAAACTGAGCTTTGATTTTTATCAGATGCTACTGGAAGTTCATGGAGGTGAAATTAGAAAGCTGTACAAATCTTTGGAATAGTCTGATGAATAATGGAGGCCAGCCAGCAGGTGGGACGTGGAGGCAGAGAAGGAAATTCAGAGCATCGTGTATACAGTGCAGGTGGTGCCTCCAAATTACTGCAGTGGAAACAACTAGGATTGTGAACTTTACGCACACATAAACTCACACATTCTTATTTTTTTAACCCTGAAGATCTCTGACTGTGTGTTGTTAGAATTCAGAGTGTGATTCATACAGCTTCCTTGTGGGTATGAGTTCATCTGGGCTATCGTGAGTTCATCTGGGCTATCGCCAGGACAGAAGTCCTGAAATTCTCCGCTTTAACTTCAGTTATGGTGCAGGGGAGGTAGAGACACGAAGATAGACATTAATTAGAGGAAGAGGAGGAAGAGAGGGAAAGGGAGGGGAAGGAAGTTTCAGACCAAGACAAGGCAAGAACCTTGGCTTTTTTGCATTTATATCCTCAGCAGGTAGTATAGTCTTGGCTGGGTTGTGTTTGAGTGAGTGAGTGAGTGAGTGAGTGACTGAAATGCAAGGAATATTTTCCATGTGTAAATGATTAAATATTAAAGTATATTTATACCCAAGTATATTTAAAGCTGCCAAGTAATGAAGATTTCTAGCAAAGAGTGACTGACCCTTCACTTAGGCGCCAGTGTCTATACCACTATTCTGTATCTTTCTGCATAAAAATATTTAAATTTTTTCAAAAAAAAATATTTTTAAACCCTCTCCTGTCTCAGCTTCTACCCAACCCCCTATCTCTTCTTTTATAGCAAAACTCAAGAAAATTGTCGCTACTGTGAGATTCAATTTCTCTCCTGAATCTTTTCCAGACAGACTTTCACTCATTGCTCCCGCAAAACCATTCTTAAGTTCTCCAGGGAACCCCCATCTGGATGCTGGTTCTTTATCCTCTCGTTCCTACTTGGGGCAGAATGTGACAGAGCTGATGATTCCCTCCTTCTCAATTTATTTTCTACATTTGGCTTATAGGACACCACACCTGAGGACTCTTTTCTCTCCTCACCTCTACCCCTTCACAGACTCCTATGCAGTCTCTGGAGATGGAAATACCTCAGAGCTCAGCCTGGAACCTATTCTCTCCTCCGTCTACTCTTTTCTCCCTTCTTGGTGTTAGAACCATCTCAACACTGAGGACTCGCGGGCTGGCATCACCAGCTGAGACCACCAGACTCACTTCCAACAGCTCACATGCGTGGTGAGCCAGCTCTTCTCTTCCCCCAGGACTCTCCGTCTCCACCAGCACTCTCTTCTCTGTGTTTTTCTCCTAAGGCCCAAGGGTCTTACAGTTGCTCTTCCCTCTGCCAGAATACTCTTCCCACAGATCTACGTAGGATGTCATCTTCTCCCTCAGCTCTTCTCTCAACTGTCACTTAGCTGAGAGGTCTTTGTGGCTACTGTAGTCCCCTCTCCCATCCCCAGGCCTGATACTCCTCTCCCTTTTTCCAGATCTCCTTTTCTCTTTCAGCATTTATCATTAGCTAACATACTTAAACACTTTACTTCATTCATATTCTCTTTTGTCTGCTTCCCCCACTAGAACGGAGGCCCCAGGAAGACAGGGGTGTTCTTCTTCCATCTGTTTTGTTCTCTTCTGTGTCCACACCATTGGTACATATTTACTGTGCTGACTCTTATTTCCTCAACTACATGGACAGTGACTTAGGATCAGGGAGTGCATACCAATTGCTGTTGCCAAATACAAGAGTCTTGCATAGAGGAGGTGTTCAGTAAAATTATTTGTAGTACAGCATCAATTTACTTTATTGACATGTGAGCAATATTTAAATAACCATAGACTTTGCGTTCTTTAAGGATTGTAGTGATAAACATTATTGGCTCAAATACCATGCTCCCTTCTTAAATATTCACCTGAAGCTTGGCAGCTGAAACAACATGATGAATGGTACCAAACAGACTAAAATTTCAATTTCACTGAATACTGTTTCTTCCTAAGAGGTGACTTAAGTCAGCCGTGTATTTATTTCCTCCTGGAACTACTATTCAAAATTTTAAATCTTATCATGGATTTCACTTCTACATATTATTTTTAATATCTTCAAAGCATATTTTTTGAAGATAGATTTTTGAAAATTGACAAAGTCATTACGAACTAAATGTATGTAAAATATTGATAATTAACCTGAATTACCATTTCAAAAATGAAAATGAAGTGTGATTATTTTGTAATAGATCATTCTTATTGGCCTAAAAGTAAATACAAAAGAGGAAGGGTTCTAAAAATATTGAACAATTTTTGGAATATATTCATGAATTCCTAGGACATTAATTCTCTGGAGACCTCATGGTTCTCATCTCATTTTACAAACAGCTAAGTGATTCAGGGGACATTACCTACATGTGTCTATATTGGTACACTGGTTTTGTGAGAGCCTCTCTACAGTTTCGCCCTGTCCTTATTATGTTTTGTTTTGTTCTAACAGATAAATGTACCTTAATTGCTTATCAAAAAATTATAGTTGAAATAAAATTTTTTGATATCGATTAGCATAAATTTGCTTAAATTTGAATGTCACTTACTCAGGGAACTAGCTAGTTTCCTTTCTCTATGATTCTTTCTCTTTGCAAACCTTCCCAGATACTTTCTTTTGCAAACCTTCCCAGAATATATTACCCAACTGGTACTGGCACATGTTATTTTGTAAAATTTTCATCAGAGATTTGTAATTAAAGCTGTAACAGAATCTGAAACAGAAGTTTTTCTCACCACACCACCACCCCAATCCTTTCTTTTTGCTTCACCTCTTTATATCATCAAACCTAAAAAATAATAATTAAGTGCCTACTGTATTATGATATTTCCTAAGTAATTTATGCACTAAGTGCATACTGCATTATTATATTTCCTAAGTAATTTATAGCTGATTGGTTCAAAAATTATTAACACTTCTTGCCTTTCCTAGCTATATTAATAGGAGTCGTAATTAAAAATAAAATAAGAAATAAAATACAGTAAATGCAATGCTGTTTTGAACACTAGATGGCGATGTGTTTCCAAAATAAATTATTCTCAGGAATTACAACCCATCTCTCACCCTCTGATATTTCAGTTGTATAATGTTCAGAAAAGATCGTTCCTCCATTTAGTGGACGAATGGCATTAGTAAGATTATTCGGCTCAAATGTTAGTCATTGTTCATTTTTTATTTACTTGTTTACATATATTTATAGCTAGCTCACAGTGAAAAAAATACTTAGGTGTCATTTTAGAAAATCCTGGATGTTGTCACTCTCCCCCTAAATGTCACTTCAAAAGGGTAAATTGTGTATTCTATACATACGTGGATAAACCTTCACTTTACGCAGGATGTCAGAGAAACCAGAAGCATGGATGACGTAGAGGGAGCTCTGACTATTAACACCACCACAAGTAGCACTGAGTAGGCTGGGGTCAATCTGCTTACTTCAAATTAGCGACTTTGAGTAGCATCAAAGGACAATAAAGGACTGAGAAACCCAGGAACCTATCGACTACGGATGTAAAACTGCTTAGGATAATATCCTACATTATTTTAAAAACACACATAAAATGCACAGAATGGGACCAGCTTCTGAGATAAAATGGCACAGACTCTGGTCTTCAGCAGATGCCCTGGAGAACTTAATGTTTGTTTAGGTTGTTAATCAGCAATTGTCTTTGTTGGGTTCAAGCTTTGGATGAAACTGATAGCAAGCTTTTTAATAAACTTCTTATCTACTTCTGGAGTGTCAGCAACTTTCCCACCTAAAATATCAGTTTACTTTTCAGTCATATGTAGTATTTTCAAAGATTTTTCTTCTTTTCCAGACATTTTCTAAAATATTTATGAAGATACTATGTTGCCTGTCTCTTAAAAATTCACAAAAATTTGAACTCTGTTGTATAATGGGTGGTGGTATTCCTAAGAGCCATTCTCATTATAAAGCATGGGCTTATGATATTTATTTTTTATAACACATACTTTCAAAGAAATAAAACACCATTGATTGTTGACTTGCAACATCACTAAGACATATATTTTATGTCTTCCTTTCCTACATCGTTCGAATTAGAGAATTGGGTATGATGCTGAGAGCTAACTACTTAAGATCATGTTAGTTTTCTTTTAGCTGGTCTACTGGTAGCATAAATCCTAAGTTCGGTAGCTTCTGAATGACCTGTACTGTGTTAACTGATCTTGAAAAGAGAAGCTACCTTGTAACAAATCAAACAGAGCTAATGACTGCATGAAATGTGCTTGACTCTAATTATACATATTTTTATTGACCCAGCTGTCCAACACCGGGATGTGATGGAAGTGGCCACGTCACAGGAAACTATGCTTCCCACCGCAGGTACCTAATAACCTGGTGTGCAGCCAGCTTTTCATCATCGTGTTCCAATTTAAATACTATTCTTGTCCATTCCAGAAAGATATTATCTGGATCAGGAACTGGAGAATGGGTTTTGGTTTCTTTGGTTTTTCAGAAATAAAGCTGTTAAATCTTCAGTCTTTTCACTTATATGGTATAGAAATCAAAACTAGTTTCCTGATCCTGTACTCCAGGTTACAAACCAAAGTTAGAGTTTCTGTCAGGGCTTTTGTAGTGTCCAGCTTTAGGACTCAAGTGAAGCAAAGGTAAGACAGTGTGACTGGAGTCGACTGTTTACTCTGTAGATGTGGCATCCTCAGCCCTGGGCAAATAAGTCAATGCTTAGAGAGGTTAAACAATGACGAAAGGCTGTGCTTAACCTTTCCACTCACCTTCTTCATTGATGTGATTTGCTTTCCCTTTTGGCGCTGATTTAAACTCTTAAGCCATCATTTCTTGATGATGCAATAGCAATAAACTACCCCCCCCACCCCCCCCGCCCCCCCGTCAGTAATGATTGAATCACTGAGTTCTAGAACTGCGGAGTCTCATTGGATTAAAGCCCATCTTTTAATAAATAGCAAACCCCAGTCTATGAGAAATAATTGAGGTGCCCACAAGCTCAAACTGGTTAGAGTATCAAAGCTGGATTCAAACCCTGCTATTTTGTCCCTAATCCCCAGTCACCGAAAAATTTAAGATGTTCACAGACTCGGGATGCCATTTAAATTGGATTTGTATATGTTGGTGTTCTGTATTTTGTTTTTGTTTTTCTCATCCCTCTTTAGTGTTTCTGGATGTCCTTTAGCAGATAAGACTCTTAAATCCCTCATGGCTGCTAACTCTCAGGAGCTAAAGTAAGTGTGGGAAGAGTGACCTCCTTGCCCTCATTCACCGTGTGGGGAACTGTGTTGGGATTCTCCTCATTCAGAACCAGTCGCTAACGAGTAGTAAATCATGTCTCACTAAGTTATGAGCAACATACTCTTTCACCAAAAAGTTCAAACGACTAAAACAAAATCACTGTTTGTTAATTAATTAGCTTACTTGGAGATTTTGTTTTTACAGTCATTTTTAAAGCAATGATGTAATAGTTCAACAAAATATTTTTTCTGTTAATTTCAGAATTTATTTAATAAATCAGACCTATGAAGGTGGGCAAACCACTTTTGTAATCTGATTTTAAGAAAGTTGCATATTATTCCTTATATCTTCTTTATTCCAAATTTCTCACTTGTTTATTTTTATATCTTGTTAAATTACATATAGAATAAAAAGTTATAATCTACTGATATCCTTTAAAATTATAATTAAGCATATATTTTAAACAGATAAAGGAGTAACATTAAACAAAATTAATAAAATTTATTTGCAAATAATATTTGAGGGAAAATTGGTGTTACTAAGTCTAGTGATAAAACAATATTTGTATAAATAGTAGAATCAACATTTGGTGTCCAAATCACTGGTAAATTTTCAGATATCTTTTAAAATATTTAGTTAGTATTTCCATTTTCTAATTTATTTAAATTTTTATCTAAAAATTACAAAAATAAATTTATGAAAAAATATAAAAAATCAGAGTTTTAGTACCAGAAATAGTAAAGGGAACAATGAAATATACAACTTTTCTCATTTTCAAAGTGCGAAGTATATTGATTTTGTCAGCATAGATTCTATAAACCTATATTGGCTGCCACTTTTCCAGACTAAAATATAAGAATGCTAAGTAAAGATTAATATTTAACAGATTGAAAACAGAAAAGTTCCAGGCATATTTACTCAATCTTACTTAATCTTACTTGCTCAATACTTACTTATTCAATCTTACTCAATTGCTCTAAACTTCCACATTGCTATATCTTAATAATAATAATCAGTTCTCTTAAATATTTTCTCTAAACATTATATCTAGGAATAAATGTCGATAATAAATTGAAAAACATGTGTATTGATAGGTCCTCTTGCAATCTCCAGTATCTATGTGTTTTACACAGTCACCTAACAAGTAACAGCTTTAGATCTAGATCTTTTCCATATATAGAAGAAAAAGAGACATTTCATTGACCACTTCTTTAGATTCTCGAGAATTCCAAAACAGGGTTACTGGACACAGATTTTTCTATAATTGGGATATGCTAGTAAACCACTATTTTACTACAAATGTTAATAGAAAAACTAGTATTCAACCTTTCTTACAATATGGAATACATATTACATCTGAAAATGGTTGACTAAAGCCTGGGGGCAGGTTTCTCTGTTTAGCTTAAAGAGATACATGCTGATTTTATATTTCATTTGAAAAAAAAGCATTTACTCCTATTTTCTGCCTCAGGCTTTAATATAAAAGCATTTCCATGACAGTTCACTGAGGGTAGAGTTTAAGAAAAAAAGATAGCATTCACATTTTCATTATTATTTTGGATTATTATTTTTTTCAAACTCTTGTTTGGATAGAAATCTGAACCAGGGTGAGCGTACAACTGAAATAATAACAAAGATAATTTCTACAAGAACCTTCAGAAGAGGAAACATTTTACAACAGCTTCCGTGTTTTCATTAATATTTAGGATTTTTTTTTAAAGGGAACAAAAGGGTGAGAGTCTGTTTAAATTGCTGTATTCATGTGTATTTGGAAACCTATTTCTAATCAGCATTCCAAGTAGAATTGGATTTTCTCTCCTTTTTACCCCTCCTCATTCCAAATTTAATGGTTGATTGTCAATAATAGTCATTGGTAGATTTTCCAAGGGGCCATTTAAGTTGGGCCATGAGGCAGAACAGACCAGGTGCAAATGACTTAGGTTCTAAGGCAGCCACAGTAATGTGCCAAGTCTCTGGAATTCACCTATACCACTGCTCATCCGATTTTAATGGATTACCATGGTAGTGGAGCATGGCAAAGAAAATAAATTGTGCACAAAAACAACTTGGAAAACTATTTTTTCTTAAATAAAAGATAAGAATTTTACATGATATAGACAGAAGCCTAGCAGTGAGTTGTGGACCAAAATTCTGGTTCCTTCCAAAATAAGGTTAAAAAAAAAAGAATGCAGGATAACAATTAATACATTGTCTACCAAGCATCACACAGTAGCTATATATCTTAAATTTTCTTTAAAAATGGATTGTTAGCAATAATCTAATTTAAGCAAAAAATGTCCCACAAAAAGCAGCTCATTCCATTTCATTCTATTTGAATGTGTCATGACCCCCCTCCCTCCACTACAACCACTAGGCTTGTGCTCTCTTCCTGTGTTTTCCAGGTGTCCAACGCCAGGGTGTGATGGTTCAGGGCATGTGACTGGAAACTATGCTTCCCACAGAAGGTAGGATGGATCTTATTTCTGAAAAATGAAATCAGTGTCTGTAGCAGGGGCCACAGAGATCACATGGTTTTGTTTTGTTCTTTGTTGGGAACATATTTTAGTTTGTCCGGCTGCCCTCGTGCCAGGAAAGGTGGTGTCAAAATGACTCCTACGAAGGAAGAAAAAGAAGACCCTGAACTAAAGTAAGTGCGGCAGTTGAGGCAGCAGCCTCCAGGTCAGTAGCTTGTTGGTCAAATGGGCGAGGCCTTGGTCCACATGTGACTGAGCACTGATTGCGTTTCAGGGGAGCTGTACCCTAGCAAACGCGAGGACACTTGAAGCAGCAGTCAGTATTTGGAGGTTCAAGAGAAATTTCCCATTCCTAGCTATGTTTCCACAGTTCTTAGATAATGTAAAAGAAAAAGGAGGAAGATCATATTTTTTCCAGTTGTTTTAAAGGAAAGTTGCATTGAGGAAGCACTATAGAACAACAAATTGGCAGCATTTTTTTTTTCCTGAAATTTTAAGTTTTCTTAGGGTGAAATTTCATCGAAGTTAAATTCCCTTCTTTGAGACATATACTACTAAATCTTGGATGATATATGCAGATATCGATGTAGAAATTTAAATTGTTCATTCTACAGCATTTCTAAGTACAATATTTAGACAATTTGGAAAACAAAATTCCAGTTTTTTGAACAATGTGCTATGTAAGGTAGGGCAAGACAGTTAACGTTTTATACCCTTGGTCTTTGGAGGCAGTTTGACACAGTGCTCATCTGGTTGGCTAGGGCTAAAAATGGTGGGTTTGAACCTGACTCCACTTCTTGTAAAATGGATGGAAAGTTACCTAAGCTTGATAAGTCTCATTTTCTCCACCTATAAAATGGGATAATAATACGCTTTGTTCCATAGATTTGCAGTGAAGATTGCAAGAGATAATGCATGAAAATTGCTTAGCTCAGAGCCAGTGGACCATCATTACTGCTAGTACAATGCTATTTTGCTAGTTGTAATGGCATCTTTTAAAACGCTATAATTTCACCATTTGCCTTCTGGATAGTATGGGATCACCACTGCCTTCTTATTCACTCAGTTACTGCACTTTATGTTAGTTATCCAGTCTCTCCCAGCTGGTAATGTCTCTGCTGTGTCTCTCTAGATGTCCTGTGATAGGTTGTGACGGTCAAGGTCACATATCAGGTAAATACACATCCCATCGCACAGCTTCTGGCTGTCCCCTGGCTGCCAAGAGACAGAAGGAGAATCCTCTCAATGGGGCCCCCCTCTCCTGGAAACTGAACAAACAAGAACTACCACACTGTCCCTTGCCAGGATGCAATGGGCTGGGCCATGTAAATAATGTTTTTGTCACCCACAGAAGGTAACATTTGTTCTCTTTTTGTTGTGATGTTGTGATTGTTTTTCACTTGGGATGCTTTGTGTGTGGTGGGGGGGGGCACCCTCTTCAAGGTCATAAATTACAGCACTTTAGATGTTATAACAATGTCTTGCCAGTTAGACATTTGACTAGTTTGAAGAATAAAAACTATTTTCTCTATTTCTGAAAATTCACTTACAATTTTCAAGTGTTGTAGAAGATGTGCATTTGTTTTCTGTATTCTAAAATATTGCTTATGCTGCCATTTTTTAATGGTTTAGTCTTTTAATGGTCCACTTCAGTTCCAAGTGGTTATATCTACTCCATTATGTAGTGTAATTAATTGTAAACATTCACTTTATATACTTATGTCATTCCCTTCCTCTTGTGAACGAGCTCAATTTCAGGCCAAATCGTAGTTGTTTTGCTACTGGGTAGATGTGACTCATCCCCAGCAGCCAGAAAGAAAACGACAGAGCAACTACTAAGTGTACAACAGGATGAGAGAGATTTAGAAAACCCTTTATAGTTTCATAATGACTTAATTCCTTTATCACTAAGTGTCACATATTTCAACAGAGCCCTTGTGGGTTCAGTGATCGTAGACCACCTTTTTGGTTCACGTGTTACTTCAAGGAAAGGAGCTACAAGAGTCGCTGCAACTTCTCCGATCAAGTGGGCCCTTCCCACCTCGCTGGCTACTGCACATGAGGTGGATTTAAAGTTCAGTGAAGCTTTAGTGAGCCCTGATGTTTTTCTTATGAGTAGAATGTAAATTGAGCAAAGCTGAGACATTTTGACATTTTGTTCACTTTTAAAGATACATATCAATGGCATGAGAAAACGAAACCTTCCAGGAATTGCTGATTTAAGTGAATACCAGCGACACTTGCTTATGGAAAAACCCTGAAATTTTAAGTGGTTTATTTTTTGAGGATTTGCAAATGCATAGACACCTCCACAATAGTACGCATTGTTTTATTCTTTTTGAATCATCATTTCTATTCAGAAATGACAGTCACAAATCAAGTGTGCCTAATGTCACAGTTACTACACAGTTAGTTCACGGCCTGAGCAATATCCACATTAAAACTGATGATAAAATGTTACCGCTGTGCTATGGCGAGCACATCCCTCAGTTAGCAACAAGAGTTATCTTTAAAAATCCTGAAGAAGTTTTAAATGATGACACCGAGGTCAGCTGAGAAGCGACCGGGATTCTCATAAACTATCGGTGGAAGAATATTTGGTGAAGCCACTTGAGGAAGCAAGTTGCCTTTAGGGAGTCATTTTAAAGAGCAGATGAATGTGTCCTGCTGCCCAGCCACTGAGCTGTTAGGCTTATGCTCAGAAAATCTGTACAGTGGGGCCCAGACTCCAAGTTGGAAACTACCACGCTCCCACTACCACTCAAGAGCATAAATAAACGGTGTCTGCACACCGAGGTGACGCAGGTGCTGCCACACACAGTGGTGAGGCAGGGACTGCCAGACACAGTGGTGACATAGGGACCGCCACACAGTGGCAAAAATGAAGGCACAGCATGGGTGAATTTTAGAACACGATGCTGAGTGGGACACATTGCTGAAGAATATGTGCGGTATGATCCTATTTATAGAGAGTTAAAAACAGCCACAAACATACATTTTTAAAAAATAGGTAATTATTAACCTGTAATGGTTTTCTTTGGGGGACAAGAGAGAGTAATCACTGAGGGGCCAGTGAGCTTCAAACATATCATAAGGCATGCTCTATGTGTGAATGAAAATGATACTCATTTTAAGAGTATTCTCTAAATTGTAAATCTATATTATATGTAGCTGTGTACATATTATGTATTTCATAAAATGAAAATCAAAATGATGAATTCAAAAATTACAGGCTGCAAGATTAATACCAAGATATTTTCTAGGAGAAGAAAAGTAATTAAAAATTTAGACAAATGAATAACTGATTTCACTTTTCCACTAGAGATCTCTCTTGCTACTTAAAAGATTTAAGTCACTGAATTTAATTTGGGTGATTCTCTTGAAGGTGGAATGATTTCCTTAACTATATAGAATTTAATAAAATAACATTACAAAATGTCTAGCTTATTGCCTGGCACATCATAGGTGTTCCATACTATTTCCTTTCTCTTTCATGAAAATTATACTAATATACATATATTTGCAATAAGGCGCTTAAGTAAGAATGATTTACACTGGAATACTACGGTCTAACCTACCATACACTTTTATATGTTATGTATTTTTAACCTAAAATCCCTGAGGTTGTTCAGGACTCTTTCCAATCGCTGTCAATAGTGGACTAGCATCTGTTTGGGCCCTCTCTGTTCCAGCAGAGAGCGCTGTTCTAAGTAATTTACATGGTTTATTCCCTTAAACCTTTACAAAAGCCTGTGAGCTACAGAGGTGTTGGGATTATCCTCCGTGGATAGAAAAGGACACAAGCACAGGGGCGTTCAGGACTTGCCCCTGCAGACAGCACCAGGACGCCAGCGCCCCTTTCGTGAAGCTGTATCACCTGCAACCCTGTGTTTGAGACCTTCCATGTGCCAGGCACGGGCAAAGACGAGTTCCTCAGTCATCATCTACGGTAAGTTTTGTAATTTTTCCCTTTCGAAGATTCAGCAGAATGGGAATAATTACAAAACTTACCTTACGAGATGGTTAAGAACAATTTGACTTGTGTATTACATCAGCATTATGTTTACATACTAATTACTTTAAAACCTTGCTTTACATCTTTATATTACAAACTTCCATTTTTGAAAAAACTAGCAATCGCTGAAGACAAATGATATCATATTAAAATGCACAGATGCAGACACACGCACACATCAGTATAGATGTTTGCGGCTTTAAAATCAGAAGTTCCGTAACTAATAGAACTCGGTGCTATGCTATAACTTTGCAATTTTACTGGTTTATTAATATATTATAAACAGTGATGCCCACTACATAAATTGTATCACTTGCCATTTTAATTTAACAAGGCAGATAAAGATATAGTTTAAAATTGCCATTGATATGCCTTAATAGAATTGCAAATTTGGTCAAAATCACATAGGGCACATTCTCCCAGCCTTTGTACTGCGGAGCCCAAATCCAGCAGGAACACCCTAGACAACCTCCACCTCTTCTCAGGCAGCGAAATGGAGCCTCATGGAGGACATCCTCAAAAGGAAAAGGACCTTTTAAATGTTTTCTGTCCCATTTTTTTTAAATTTAAGATTTGCTTAATATCCTTGAAGATATAACTACATTAGAAGATACAAAATATCAAATGGCATGTTTTAAATCAAACCCTCATGTTCATAGTTTAACTATACTTTTGGTTCTAAGTCACATAGTTTTGGATGCTTCATTCGCTTTCCACACCGCTGGGTTACAACTAGATATTTACGGCTGTGTTGTCTGAACAAAGCCGATCCTTTAGGGGAGAGAGAGAAGTCCTCACAAGCTATTGATTTCTATTATGTTACAAATGGACTTACTATATGTCACTTTTAAAATCCAGCTTAACAACTAAATAGTAGCCCTGTTCATGACCATTTTCTGAGGACACAATATGTGACAAAAGACAGATTTGTGCAAACTTTTCAGGCAAAAAAAGATAATGAAATTTAAATAAGCCACACTTTACAATGAAAAGCTTTGGATGTGGAAAAATTGAGTTCAATTTCAGTTTGTGCTTTTTCATTATTTTCTTTTCCTGTGTAAAATATTCATAATTTATCAAATTTTGGCAAACTATGTAACTTTCTTTTTATGTATAACACTATATACCTATTAATTTTATATTTTATATGATCTTTATATAGAATAATTTAGAATTCTTTAAAAATACATTCATTCAGCAAACATTAAGGGCTTTGCTTCAGAAATATTTTCTTTCATTTGGCCATGTGTCCTAATCTTTGGGTTGAAAATAATTGTTTTATACATGAATCGTAATCAAATTTCTGCAGAAAAATATTTTAAATGGCTGATTATGATAATTTTTAATTTTATTTAAAAATCATATCTCTAAAAATACAACAAAATTACAAAAGAATTAATGGGTACTTAAAACCAACAAAATCATCTGATCATGTACTATGGAAAACAAGTGTTGTTCAATGTCATTATCATCTCAGTGCAATTTAAATAAAACAGATGACATTAACGGAAAGAGCACTGCTGAAGACTGAAATTAAGGAACAGTATAAATGCCACTAAAAGACAATTCGCTGCCTCAGGAATGGTTATATCTGAATATTCTCGTAGGGGTTCCTTTTATTTTTTCAGGGTAAAGATTTCTTTATGAAAAATAATGTTTTAAAAGTTAAAGAAAAAATTAGACACTTTCCCATCCTCCAACTGAACTTGTCATGAAGAGGGAGGGTTGTTATTTTGACCTTGTAATAATTTGAGTCATTCTGTAAAGATCAGACCACAGTATATATAAAGACAGAAAGAACTAGATTCTGCTTTATTATTTATGAAATTTTGACTAATTTGGAACAATTCTTATTCATACTACTTCTGTACAATTTTATGTTTACAGAAAATAAAATAACCACTACTAAAGAAAGGAGCTTATAAGAATGCAGAATAGTAACATTTTAACAAAAATTCATTAAATGATAATATCAACAGTAGCTATTTGTATTTTAAGAAAAAAAAATACAAAACATCTTATATTATTTCAGGGCCTTTTGCTTTTGTTTGAATAGATATTTACTCATTACTCTCTACAAAGGGACTGCAGGTTATAATGTAATTAGTAAGCAGCCAAATATTTAAATAGTCAGCAGAGAATAAAAAAAACTAATTTTTATAGGAACTAATACGTGATTCACACATGGGAATAATTTCTGTCTTCACAGCTTATCTGGATGTCCTCTAAATGCACAAGCCATCAAAAAGGGCAAGGTCTCAGAAGAACTAATGACCATCAAGCTAAAAGCAAGTGGAGGTAAGGGCTCATGGCTGGGTTCACCATCCCCACAGAGGTCCAGACCACTTATTCCCTAAGGGTTCTGCATACCAAACTGTACCCTATGCAGAAGGTGTAATTTTAATATACAAGAAGGAAGCTTTCCTCACAATTCAACTAAAACTGTAATTTTATCTAAAAACAATAGCTTAGTGTTTTTCCCTACTTTTTAATAAGGACCTCCAACATTGAAAATGCTTGTGTATGTGTGTGTATGTGCACGTGTGTGTGTGTGTCTGTGTGTGTGTCTGTGTTCCTCGTGTAAGCCCTCTACCAAATCTCAAGAAACACAATTTCTGGCATCTCTGTTTGAATCTTCAAATTTTGTTCGATATTCAAAACGATGTTATGATGGCGAGCCCAGATGATTTAAATTTAGCATCTCTACATGTAATTCCCTAGTGTCAAATCCCTGATCAAAGTTAACATACAGCTTCTGTACTCTGTATTCGTATCCTCCAACTTTTCTTTAAATTCTTCAGTGCTTTTCTTAAGATTTCTCATCAGCATTATTTCAAGCATGTGTTGTTTTCCATCGCAGATCATTCTACGGCATCTGAGGAACAATAGCAAAGCAATCGTTTTACTTTGGATAGTTTATTTGATGGTGTTTTGGGCACATGACTAGAATTGAGCTGGAGACTTTTAACTCTTGTAACTTTATTTCATTGAAAACATTGCTCAATCGTTTTAATTTGTCTGTGATTTTTTTTTAAAAAAAAGAAGATATGCAATATCCAAGGAGGGAAGCACTCTTGATTTTCCTACTGTTTTCCTCTGAGTCTGTCAGACACGTTATTTAAAGTGTTCTCCCTCCATGGCGCTAACTTTTAAGAGCTGAGGGAGGTCAGAACGCTTGTGGAGGAGAAAACAAGTGTTAGGGACAGGTCTGTACTCTACATTCTCTCTAAAGTCCAGATACTCAGTAAATATGCTTTCTCCAGCTGCTCTGATTGTTTCTTGGAAATACTCCCCACTTTTCAAATGCCTCTCAGCACATTTTCAGTGAAGTTGGCACCATTAATATTTATTTACACATCACCTTATCTCAAACAACATTTAAAGAGTGGGGAGTGCAAAGCTACATTTAGAAAGAAGAAAGCTACTTAAACATTAATTTAAAAAAACCGAGATAAAAGAAAATGATAAGATGCGACAACCCTGAGGATAACACAATAAATGTGTGAAGCAGGCCATTTCACAGAGGGTCAAAAAGGATCTCAAATTTGACTTTCAGCTTTTTAGAAGCTAAAGCCAAAAGGGAGTATAATCACTATGAGTATCATGCTGTCAGTAAGTAAATTCAGAGCAAAACTTTCTAGAATTGAGCACATGAAGAAATACTTCCTATGAGTCTTTATTATGTTAGCACCCACAACTTATAGTTCACGTCTCTAAATCACAGGCTGTTCCTAATAAAGATAAGAACAAAACAGTAAGCTGGTGGCTTTACAGCATATGATAATAAAGCTTTTAAAAGGGGCTGGTGTGGTATGGGCTAGTTATGTGCTTCTGATGGTCTGTCTGAACCCACTGGTATACTGTTACAGTAACCAGGGAGCAGTAGGAGTGAGCACACACCTTCCGGGGCCCTTTATAAATCCAACATCTTCGGCTGAGCTTTCCAAGGCTGTGGAGCAGCAGTGAGATGGGTGGGACATTCTAATAAGTGCCTAAAGTGCAGTTATTCCAGGTGGGCCAGGAAACCAGAGTACATGTTTTTACAATCTAAGGAGCTAGGACCTGATGCTAATATAAAGATTGAGAATTTCTAAAGATTTTTGCATGAAAAAAAAAATCCACTTGAGTTCAGGTCAGTGGTCAGTTGAGGGTCAAGAAGGAACTAAAGTGCTCAAAGGTCTGCTCTAATAGCGTTCCATCCCCATCGCCCCCTACCTTAAAGCCTGACCATAATAATTATTCCCTGGATGATTCATAAAGCAGGTGTAAGCCAACCCTTCCTCAGTCATAAAATAATACATCAAATTGCTATAAAATATAAAGTGAACATGACTTTAAACTTCTTAGTGTATTTTGTTAAATTAAACTAGATGCAAATCATTCATGCAGTTGGTTGAATTTGGTATCATGTTGAGAGAAATTACCTACAAACCAATTAAAACACGGAAATTCTATATCAAAAATTTTATATTAATTTTAGAAGAATTAATCTTCTGTTCCCTATCCTTGCCATAATTAAATTGCCACTAATTTTTAAGACCATTATTAGTCCTTGATAATAAAAGCAGATCATCAGTACATGAATAAATGCTTGCCTTTCTAGTCTTGGTGGGGATAAGTAAAAATTATGATGGTTGACCAATGTAGATGTTTTTACATTTAGTGTCCTTCTAGTTCTTCCCATGTAACAAAATAGTATGTTCTAAATATTTTGATATATCATTCCTTTCTGGATATTCTCTTCATCTAGTTAGTAATAAAAATAGTCAAATTTATGTTAATTCATTTCCCCTAAATAAAAACAGAAGTAAAATTTTAGTCTATAAACCAAATATAAAAATAAAGGTTCACGCAAAAAATATAATAGAATGTGTTCAAAATAAAATAGAATTGTTTCATTTATATAATATGAAAAAATAACTACTTAAAGTCCCTTATAAGTTGAGTACACCTGCTATTTACATATATCTACATAACATATTTATATAGAATATAAAGAAAATTTTATTATAAATTACATAATCCTTAATTATGTACTTTAGATTAGTATCAAGTCAAAGTTAGAATTATTGAATGAAAAGAAAGCATATGCTCTTGCTTTTGAACAGGTGTACTCTATAAAGAAACAGGGCCATTGAATAGTTCAGTAAAATATTTACAGGAAAGATTATATGGTTTCTTTGATCAGCAACACCTAGCTAGTCTAGCCTTCTATGTCAGTATATCTATAATGGAACATTAGTGCACACATTTTACTGAGACTTTCAAAACAGATTAAATATCTGTGTGTAAAGGTAGCATTACAATAGTTAAAAGAACATATGCTAGAACCAGAAAGCTTTTGATTTGAATCTGAGCTCCAGTAGCATACTAATTAACATCTTCATGCCTTGGTTTTCCCATCCATGAAATAAGGTAATAAGTGTATCTGCATCATAGATAGTATCCTTAAGAGAATCAAATGAGTTAATATTTGCAAGTACAGTGTGACATTCAAAATTGGTATCATCCTCCCAGCTCCACTCAACAATGAAGCCTTCTAAAGGGTGCATGTATTGAGAGGCGTATCTCAGATTTTCAGGTAAGGTAATATATACACAGAAAAAAAATGACAAAGAGATTGGCTGAATTTGCTTCTGTGGCTAAAATATCTCTCCAGTTCCCAGCAATCATAGTGAAAACATAGTTCACCCATTTATTAATTTCATGAGAATTTATGGAATGCCTAGTATGTATTAGATTCTGTCATAATGTTTCTTTTTGAGGTCCTTCCCCATAGGCTTTGAGGTACTTTTTGTTATTAGGCATCTTCCAAATGGCCCCATCTGGATTAAGAGGCATGAGTATCTTCACTAGCTTGGACTTCAGGGAAACATAAGCTTTACTAGCTCTCAGTGCCAAGAACCCAAACTCTCAAAACAGTCTTCTCACAAACATCCATAACTTAGCCAAAACTGAACTTATCAGTTTTCTGCTGCAAGTTGTTGCTCCTTGACTCTTCCTCATCCCAGAAACACCACTAGCACCCCAGCTGCTCAAGTAGAAACAAGAGTCACCCTTGTCTTCTCCATTCTCTCATTCCCTTCCTCCAATCCATCACAAGTGTTGCCAGTTCCACCTTCAGGTTTTGCCTTGAGTCTCCTTCCATTACTACTGCTCCCACTGCCGTGGGACAAGGAGTCATCCCCAGCCAGGACCCAGGCAATAGTCTCCTAACTGGTTCTGGCTTCTGTTCCATCTCCTCTTCAGTCCAAGCTCTGCTCAAAACTCTGAAGTATGCTTTTAAAAAGTCAGCCAAAATCACGTCACTCCCTGCTTAAAATCTTTCGCTGGCTCCCATAACACTTAGAATAAACCCAAGCTCCTTGTGAGGTCCCCCCATGACCCACTCCCCTCGCTCACTGGGCCTTCGCTCACAAGGGCCTCCTTACAAAAGTCCTGAGAGCATTTTCTTCCCACTCCTTTGTGCTTTCTGCTTCCTCCACCTGGAATGCTCATCTCACCCACTAGCTTGTCATACACCTGCTCTTTCATATCAGAAAAGTCTCAGATTAAATGAGGTTTCCCAGGGAAAATCTTCATAGTACCCTGCTTGTTTCCTTCATGACTCTCCATATTTTATGTGTTTTCTTTGCTTATTGTTTGTCTCACCAGATATTAAGAAAATACCATTTTTGAAGTGGAATTTGATTCCAAAGAGACAGAAAGAAAAAAACCATATGTCAAAGAAATGTAGCACTGAAAATACCCATTTAATTGAGACTCTGTGCTCCCTGAAGCTTTTGGAAACAAATATTTCAATCCCTGTTGTCTGACAGAAGATTCCTCTATCAGCCACTAAAATATGGTGCTGAGAATGCAATACAATTCTCCAGATACAGCAGGCTTGTGCAGAATAAGTCCTGTGTCCCAATATTTCTGTTAGTGTGGCCCTGGGTAATTGTTTTCTTAGTAATGTGTCACACTTGACTTAGTTGTGGGTTTGCTTTTCTTTATTGAATCTCGGAACCCAGAATTAGATGACTCTTATGACACCCTCTCTTCAGTGTTCATGCGTGGCCCACTTTTATTCAGGTAATTAGTTACTTAAAATTAAGCAAGAAGTACCTACAAAACATTCATCTGTTTATCACGCTGTATGAAATTTTCAGGGCTTAACATTTTCCTCTTAATATTGTGTTAGTATGAGTCATCCATATTGTTTTTGATGAGTGGGTATCTTGTTTCCAGGTTGTACTTTTGTGAACAATATGCTATATACATCTTGTAAATGCCTCCTATTATACATGTGCAACTGTTTGTATTAGGCGGGTACCTAGGATTGAAATTGCTGGATCATAGAGAATTTGAAGTTCACTTTCAGTAGTATTCCAAAGTAGTAACCCCAGGAAAGTATAAGAGCCTAGATCTCTTTCAAACAAATTGCCAAGTCTTCCCATCCTGCTGTCGTGAAATCGATCTTATTAAATATAAATACAAAAGTTTATGTTTATCCCACTTAATTGGTATCTCTTTGGTTTAGATTCATCATTCTAGACTGTTGAGATTACCTTAAATACTGCTATGGCATCCTTAATATTAACTACCTTATCCATATTTTAAAAATCTTTAAAATGTATTTATATTCCTTTTATAAATTAGTGATGGGAAAATAACTCCTGTTCATTGACAGCCTGCTCTATGTTCAGCACTTTATATCTTATTGTATCAATTCTCACAACATAGATTTTAGGTCTTTTACAGACAAGGAAACTAAAGCACAAAGAAGTAAGTTTCCCAAGTTAAAAATTAAGAGTCAAGGTCAGCATTCAAACTTCAAAGCCCATGTTCCTTCTCCTAGATTGCATTTGTTCCTTATCCAAGTCCATGAAGAGAACTCAAATTATCTATCCCTTGACTCTGACCCACCTGCCAGCACCCCAGCTATGCCTCTATAATGGCTCATAAAGTCCCCCTCAGTTGACAAATGTATAATTAATCAGCAAAACTCATGTCTGAACTGTCATTGCAGCATTTTATATGAGAGAATGCATGAGCTTTGGGATTCAGTCTCAGCTCTGCCTCTTACTCTGAATTTGGGCAGGCTACATCATCCCTGTCAGTGTTCACTGCGGCCTCAGTTAACCTAAGGCTCAGTGTCTTCGTATGTGAAAGATGTATACTGGAACATGCTCCATAAGGTGCAGTGAAGTTTAAATGAGAAAACATTTACAAACGTGTCTGCAGCACACCTGGAACATAATGGAGCAACACTGAATGGTGATACTTTTATATTTCCTTTTTTCTTACAAAGAATTTAAATATTGTAACTCCTTTTTTTACTCACCTTTTTAGAATCTTGGATGTGGGTTTAGGTAAAAAACGCAACATTTCAAACCAAAGCCTAATTTTCACTTCACAAACCACAAATTAGATGTAAAATGACTCAGATTTGTCACATTCTCATATTTTTGATTTGAATTAAAATAGTCCGACTCTTTACAGGTATAGAGAGTGATGAAGAAATTAGACATTTGGATGAAGAAATAAAGGAACTGAATGAATCCAACCTTAAAATTGAAGCAGATATGATGAAACTTCAGACGCAGGTAAACAGAAAGTTCTCTTCATGGCAATCATCATCTTGAGTGGAGGCAAAACATTTAACTGTTAAACCTTGTGATAAAAAAAAAAAAAATCCGCTATCTTACAATGAATATACTGAGCATGTCTGGATTACATAATTACTGTAAAAATGTGAATAGGTGGATCATCCTATAATTACAGAGTCCTGTAGAATGTGTGGTGCTTTAGAAAAATTGTCATGAGACGATATGAGAGTACTTAGTTTTATTCAAAATCCAAGTAAAACAAAGCAACTTTATAAATTTAATTTTTCTACAACACATCTGAATGTGTCCATTTTTCTTAGAAACAGATCTTCTAAGATTTTCTTGAACAGATTCTTTACCAAAAATCCAAGCAATTTCTCAATTCTGCATTCTTGTTTGTAATGTCTGCCCCATCCCTGATTAAATTTATCAAGTGGAAATTAAAAGTCCAGGCTAGGACTTTTTAAAACACTAATCATGACATTACTGCAACAAGTCAGAAGGAAAACAATAATTAGACAAAGGATGGGCTGAAGTAGACTTCTCCCTTCTCTTCTCTCCTGAAATGTAAGATTTTTAGACCACTGTGGTGACTGACTCTCAGAAGTCCTCATTCACAGGACCTTAAGACTGAAGGTTTCAATTCATCTGAAACACGGGTTTGGTTTCCTTACCCAGCATGACCAACGTCATAGTCTTCCACTAACAACGATCAAGTCTACAAAAAGAGCTTGATGCCTTGGTTTACAGATTGTGGGAACTCCTCTTTGGAACCATTAGCAAAGAAAGTGAAGGCCTCTGCTCTCATGGAACTGAAAGTCTAGAAGCGGGTGGCAGACAATAAAAAAAAAAATCATAAATCACAAATTGTATTGTATGAGAGAAGGGGAAGGGGGAGAGGCAGCCAGATTTCAATATAAAACAGGATAGCCAGGCAATGCTTCAAGAAGAAGAAAACATTTTGGCAAGGACTTCTGGAATTGAGGGAGTTTGCCAAACAGGTATGGGGAAGAGTGTTTCAAAGAGTAAAAACAGCAATGCAAAAACCCTATATCTTAAGAAGGCTCAGAGTTTTGAGAAAGAGCGAGTATGGCTGCAGGTGAGTGATGTAGGGGAATCAAAGGAGACGAGTCCTAGAAGTAACGCATGGAGCATCCTAGGCCATGTTAAAGGCCTTGGTTGTTGTTATTCTGAATGTACACAGAACCATTGTGGGGTTTTGAGCCAAGGGTTAACGTGATCATACTTGACCTGCATCTGACTTACATTTTAAGAGACTCATATTGGTAGCTGTGTTGAAGATGGGCCAAGAATAAGACTGCAGGGTTCAAAGCCACATGCAGAGCCACCCATGAGTAGAGAGTGACAGTCAGTCAGTCACTCTCGTGGCTAGGCCCAAGGGACAGCAGTGCAGATGGGGACAGTCATCCCATCCCAGATATTTTGAAGGAGGATCCCAGTGGAGTTGGAGTGTAAGAAGAGGAGAACCCCAGGGATACCACGAAGGCCCAGGCAACGTGCAAATTGCTACCGACTGGGAAGGAGGGACTGCATGAGGGGCAGGTTTGAGGAAGAAGCTACAGTTTGCTTTTGAACTTAGTGAGCTTGAAATATCCATCACATAGCGATGTGGAGATGTGGTGGAATCTGCAATTAGTAGGAGAGACTGGGCCAAAGATATATCTTTGGGAATGCAATTCCAAAATTCAGAGCAACATGACAGGATTGCACTTTGTGAAGAGAGGATGCAGAGTATGCATTCCTTGGCATTTAGATTCAGCTGATGCATTTTCCTTCGGAGAGAAAACTTTTATACTCCTTCCAAACTCTACTTCTCATGTTCTCAAGTTATTTTCATTTCAGATCACATCTATGGAGAGCAACTTAAAGACAATAGAGGAGGAGAATAAACTTATAGAGCAGAACAACGAAAGCCTGCTAAGGGAGCTGGCGGGTCTAAGTCAAGCCCTCATTTCAAGCCTCGCCGACATCCAGCTCCCACAGATGGTAAGTCCAAGGCCAGAGCGTGGCTGCGCCATTCCAAGTGTTTGCGGTGTTAGCATACAGTCACCAACAGAGCCACCAGGCAGACAAACCTAGTTTTGAGGAGACCCATCAGCAGTCACCAAGGCATCATGTATCATCATATACGACTTGCAATAACCTCTCTCACTGGGAATATGATAGACATATACACTTAAATTACAAGGTCAAGAGTGTCTGATATTGTAGGAGTTCCTTAAAGATGAGGGTTTATTTGAAACTTGTTTTATAATGTAATATGAAAGTGGGAGGCCAAAATTCTCTGGCTGAAAAATTAGTTTCCAAATAGAAAACTTACAGAATCTGAGACACAGCCATTTGCGTCATCTACTCAATTCAAGAACAGTAGAAAAAAAAATTAACTTGGTGCTTTCTTTATACTCAGTATAAAGAACATACTTGAGTTCCCCTCACACAGAATAAAAAACACCAAAGTGAATTAAAAAATCGTTTTTTTTCCCCCAAAATCTAAACACATATTTGAAGTATGGCAACTATTTAAAATTTATAGAAAATTAGTTTTCTTTACATTTTCATAAATATAATAAACATTTAAAAGAGAAGCTGCATTGTTGAATACCTTTAATTTACTCAGTGTGTGCATTTTTAGAACAAGTTTTCTAAAGCTGAAAATTTTATATATAGAATGATTTTAAAAAGTGACAATTTAATGAAGAAATATGATTGGTTTCCTAAAATATAATAAGTCCCTCAATTTACCCAATTTTCCAGCATAGAGCTGCCGTCTTAACCAATTCCAAATGTGTCTCTTGACAATAAATATAAATCAACAATTTTAAAAAATTAATAATGTAATAAATAACACAAAGGAAAATAAAATAGTACTTTGTGGCCACTGTTAAGGTAATTATCAGAAATTATTATATTATTTATTAATGTTTGTCTAATTCATACTTTGAATTTATAATCCTTAATACTTTTTCCTAAACCAGTGCCATAAAAATAATCATTACCATACAAGATAACTTGTACTTTGTGTAGGCACTCTAGTGGTGACTTTTAGGGCTGATCACACTACATGTTCACAAAGGCACCAAGGACTGAGCATTCTACAGTTGAGGAAGTAGAGGCACAGAGAGTTTACGTAATTTGATCAAGGTTCCAAGACAGCACAAGTTAAGTGGGCCTGGCTTTACAGTGTGGCCTTTATTTACTCTGCCACCTGGATCCTAGTCCAGTTATGTGACTCTCCAAGAAACACATGACAACGCAAAGGCAGAAGCTAAACGGGACAGAAAACCACAGTTACACAATACTAATAATTTAGAACAGTACTTTGCTGAGCACAACAAAATATTCTTCAAATTTAGAAAGCCTACCTTCTAAATAACAACAATAATATCCTTTATATATATAGTATTTAAACCTTTAAAAGTCTTTTCTTCCAAGCATCTTGTGAAGTAAGGCACATACATATGTTTTCAAAAAGATGGGAAAATGGAGGCATCAAAGAATGTTTGGGTAGCATTCTTTTTTGTCATTCATTTCCTTTCACACAGCGTATAGTTTCTACACAAGTGTCTATTTTCTTTGAAGCACCACATTAGGCAAAGGAGATACCAGAGCACACACAGAAAAAATAAGGAATGAGCAGACTCTGACTTTGCGAATCTCATATTCTACCTGGAAATACAGATAGAGAATTTTTTTTTTTTTAAGTATATTACAATAGTGCTGCAAGGGAAAAGGGACGAAGAGGTGTCTGAGGATGAAAGAGGAAATTTTCCATGAGAGAACTGGTTAGTGAGCAGCTTGCTCAAATTTTAAATTCCTTATCCAGCCCAGTGCTGTCAAAGGAATCATCTGGTATAAGCAAGCCTTCCTCCCCAGCATTGCTGACATCCACCTTCTGCATAGAGAGGTCTGTTTTATGCTGAGCATATGCAATTGAAGCTGAGACTACCTCTCAAGAGAAATAATGCAGCTTTGAGGAATCCAACTCAGCAGTCAGACATCTACATTATGTGGCTCCACACTGACCACAAAATATTGTACAATTACATTAATCCCATTAATTGAGTAAAGAATGAACAGGAGACCCCAATTCCCTCTCCCAAGACTCCAGCAACCATATATATCCTTACCTTCCTTCCCAGACTCCGGAGTCACTGATACGCTTCCGTGTTATTTGGTCCTCCTTTTGCCTCAGCCTGAATCCCTGTGATTGGTTCAATGTGTTTTGTCTTCATTTAGGGGCCTATCAGTGAGCAGAATTTTGAAGCATATGTAAATACACTCACAGACATGTACAGCAATCTGGAACGGGACTATTCCCCGGAATGCAAAGCTCTACTAGAAAGTATCAAACAGGCAGTGAAGGGCATCCACGTGTAGGACCGCAGCACTGCCAGGCAACAGAAATCACCAACAGCAGTAAAACCGATGGATCTGCTAGGGGCTCCCGTGCTACTAAGGCATGTAGGTTGCCATTTCGTATTTACACTTGCAACATTGCACTAATTTTTTCCCCCAGCTGACATAAAAAAGAAAGAAAATCTATGATAGACTCAAAGTAATGCTGTCAAATATTAGATCTTATTTATTTTCATATGTTTTCCTTTTATTTCTTCATTGCACTCTTTTTTCTTTGTAAAGTATATGTAAATTAATGTGACATTTTTATATTTTATTTATTTCTAATCAAAGAGTTTTTTATTTTTTAACTGCATTTTGAAGTCTGCCATATTTTTACAAGTGTGTTTGTTTATTTTGCAATAGAATTTAAATAGAAATGCTATTCTCAAACACATATCTTTCTGGGTTTAAATGAGAAAACAAAAAAGTATGAAGGAAACCCTTGTCTAAGGACTGCACTAGGCTCCAGTTTGATTTTGTTGCACACTTCTTTTCCCCCCCTTTCTCTGACGTTTGTGTGGGTCAGCCGGCCTGTGGTAAGGTGAGACGCAGAGAAGGAAGAGGAAGGTAAATGGCGCCCACTAGTGGCGCAACGCGCTCTCACAGAAGCACAGTATACTGGGAAAGCCTGCTCAGAATTTGTTAGCAATAATTAAATACAGCGATTAGCAAAGTATTGGACTTGGCTGTACCATTTCGGTTTATATGAATTATTTATTTGAAACGTTTTAAAGAAACATAAGCCTTTTTAGTGATGCAGATTTGTCTGTTTGTTTTTCAAGTCATATCAGATAGTCGGCAACCCTTCTTCCAAGATAAGAAATAAGATTTGATGTAACCAGCCAGGCTTTCCGGCCATATGTTGGTACAATATACAAGTGACGATATTGATGTAGATTTGTACTTAGCAAATACAAACACATCCAAATGGAAAATTCTGTAGATACCATATCCCCTGAAATAGCATTTATCTTACTGGGTTGACTGGAAAGGAATGGAAAATATAGTAACACATGAAAAAATACTATTTCTATCTGAACACTGGTGACATGGTCTTACCCTCTTTGGGCAACAAGACAACTTTCAATTTGATCCAAATCTTTCTGTAGAACTACAAGCGCTACAAAGTATACACACACAGGCACACACCCCAACATACACACTCACATACACTCACACAAACATAAAATTGAGCCTGCAATCTTGAATTTCTGAATGGATCACAGGTTAGTAGTTGCTATAGTAAAGGCAATGTCTATTTCAGGGATTGTAAAGTAGTTAAGCATTGTTTCAAAAGTTTTTTTATATTTATTTTTTTTAAAAAAAAGGTATAGACAACCAGCTAAACTGCCTTTTTGGTGTGCACACACACCTCGTGTGCAATGTGCCTCCGTGTAAATGGACACTTGAACTTAGTGTGGGCTTAATTTTCTGTTCTATAACAAAAGTGTTTATTTTTTATTAGCCTCATGGATATGTAGATTGAATGTGATGGCACTCACAGGCTTGATATATTCCACTGTTATTACTGTTACCTGCACAAATGAAAAGTAATATCGACAGTAATTCTGCTTCCATGCCACTGTGGTCATTGTTATGTATTAAGTGGGGCTTATCTTTGGTTTGGGGTTCATTTGAACCCTTATTTCTTAGTTTAGTGAAAATGAGATGTCTGTTCTTAGGTAGGAACGGTGTTTATTTAAAAATCAATTTAAAAAGAAAAAGAGCTACCATATGTGCTGTCTATTATAAATGGGACACCAAACAAAATTTTCTATTAAAGTTATGTACTTGCAAACATTTTGCTATACGGTACTTGATAGATGCATACAAATGAGTTCACTTATTACAAAGACAAACGTTTAATTTGCTAAATATTTTAACAAGTTTGTTATATATTTTATTTAATTTAAAAGAAATCTCTTACCAACCTATGTATTTATTATTATAATTTACTATGACTTCGGGTTAATTTATTTGTGTTTGTATAGTTTGAGCAGGATGTTTTGTGAAGTACGTTTGTATTTATTTGCCTCCTTTGTACTCGATGTATTTTGTAATGTGCACTGAATTACTTTCCTTTCAACTATGTTAATGATTGATACTGTAAATTGGGTCTTTTGTAAACAACAAAAGGGCAATGATGTTTGCATTTTTTTTTTAATTTCAAGTAGTTTGTATACTGTTTCTTCAAACAATTAATATTTCTTAATTCAAAGCAACAAAATTGTGTTCAGTGCTGTACATTGGTGTATGGTAGGAAATAAAAATTGACAATGAGTTTTGCCGTTATCTTTTTCAAGCTACTGTACAGACTGCTGTCACTATCCCAGAGGCGCTCTGTTGGGGTCTGTACCCCCGGGTCCTCAAGCAGTTCTGACCATTTTTTGGTTCTGTCAACCAGTCTGCTTGACTTATTCTTTACCTCAAGTAGACAGGATTTTTTGCCAGTTGACAAGTTATCATAGCCTTTGGTTTGGCATACACCTACAGATCGCGAGCAGAAAATGCACCTGGATCTAGTGAGAAATAAAATATAGGCCCCACTCCCTGATTCCAAAATTGCTGTGGATATATCTACATGGTCATACAAGTCAGTTGAACTCAAATCAAAGAAAAATAATGGTTATTTCTTTAAAGTATCTCTTTTACTTCTGTTTTCCCCACCTACTGACAGTCGGCTTAACTTAATATCCGAGCTTTTGAAATAAGTCAGGCAGAAAGGACAAGAACCATATGATTTCACTCATATGTGGGATATAAAACAAAAAGCAACAAATGAACAAATAAAACAAACATATGAACAAATAAACAAAAAAACAAGCTCATAGGCAACAGAATGATGGCTACCAGAGGGAAAGGGGTGGGTAAAGGACAAAAGGAGTAAAAAGTAAAAAGGTAAATATTATGACAGAGGGAGACTAGACTTTGGGTGGCGAGCAAACAATGGAGTATACAGATGTGGTATTATAGAGTTGTACACCTACAATTTATATAGTGTTATTAACCAATATCACCCTAATACCTTTAATTAAAAAAAAAAAATTCCAGTTTCTGCTCAGATTTACACATTTCTAGGATTGGTTGTCATTTATACTCAATGTGGTAAAACCCATGTAGTTCCTGTAATAAAGCAAAATTGGCTGAAGGGAAGTCTGTGTCCCCAGAGGAAAGTCAAGGTACTTGGGTAGACCTTTATATAACAAGGGTTGGCACACAGCAGTCAACCCACAACATAGCTTGCTTTTAGTCACCAAATTTATTTTTATGAGATGTGTATACGATACACCCTGTAAAAATGGATCACAAGAAGAAAATCTGCTCAGGCGACTTCTTAGTTTACCCTTTGTAGAATATGTGCACCTTGCCCTGAATGTCCCCCAACATGTAAGAACAGTACCAGTTCTATTGGAAATAAGAAGAGAATGATGAGTAAAAATCATATATTTATACAACAGAAGTTTAATTAGAAGGTATTTATGCCAGGTCCAGTTCCTGACTTCCATGTAAGTTCAGCCTAGACGAGACAATGAAATGGGTGTTAGATATTATGACTGAAGTACACGCAGGCTCCTGTGGAAACAGTGTGGAAGGTTACCTACCTAACTCCAGTTTCCTGGTTACAGATGACCTGGGTGGGTTTGAGGAAAGGCATTGCAGGTAGCAGGACTTTCATGTGCGAAGTCACGGGAATGAGACAAAGCCAAATAGATTAAGATAATTCATATATCAAAAAATTGGTGAGCAGTGAGAGGATAAGAAGCAAAAGGCGCAGGTAAGTGGGAGAGTGACTCATATTTAAACAGCCATACTAAAGAGTTCTAATTTCCACGAGCAGACTTTAGAAAGCCAAATCTAAAAAACCAAAGAATGACAGGATCAGATTTTCATTAGAGACAATTTATCCTAGCAATTCAAACATTTCTTACATCAAGGCAACAAACTATGTTTAGTGCTATACCTTTGCTATGATAGGAAATAAAAATTGATAGAGTTTTGCTGTGATAGTTTTCAGGCTGCTCTATGTAGAAGCTATTATCACTATCCCATAAAAGGTGGCAGGACCTTTAGGCACAGAACTTAATACTTCTACTTGATCCAATGTCTTGAATGAAAAGAAAGGGTAATTGATTCTTTGATCTGCCTCATTAGAAAAAGTTTTAAAAATTAGTTTGTTATGGTACATAAATATTTTATTAATATTCATAAAACTAATGTTCTGTGTCCCTTTCTACACGTTATGTACATTTTATTGTGGTCTGGGAATAGTACTTTGCTATTTCCTCCCATTATTCAGCAGATAATTATAAAGTAAGCAGATTTAATTGGCTAATAACTACCTACACTGTCAGACACAATCAATGATGCCTTGTATACTTCATCTCATGAAATCTTCAAGCAAATTTATGGAGCAAATATCACCATGCCCAATTAAACTGATGAGGAAATGAATGCTCAGAAAAGTAGATAACTTGCCCAAGAACATAAAACTAGGAAAAAGTACAGCCCAGATTTTACCTCTTTCCACTATTTTTAAGGTCAAACCCATGGGAATTTGTCTAGTCACTTGTAGGTTGCATCTCACCTGCAAGAAAGAAAACAGGAATTAGTTAAGATTAAGATGTATGCTAAGGCACAGATTTATCCAATATTCTTATATCTTGACACAATAACGATGTCTACCTATCATTACTGAGTGCCTCATTATGCCCTCAGCCCCTAGAATCACTCTCGTAGGCTTGACAGCCACACCACAGTGTGAGTATTGTGATCAGCATTATACCGATAGAAACCTGAGGCTTAGAGAGAATAAAGAACTTGCTTGATGCATAAGAGATAAGTGCCATGGTTAGGATTCAACCCGGTTCTGACCCGAAGAGGAGCTCTTGTCCCTTCCGTAAGCCATCATTATTGTCTTTAGCCAACTCCTAACTTGCTGACCATCCTAACCCACTTCAAGCCGTAGCCGCTGGGCAAGAGGCAGTCAGTTCATTCACCACTTCAGATAAAGTTGTTCAAAGAAGTACAATTTTCACATTTAAACCACATTATTATTATATATTTTTCTTGTAAAGGCAAATCATAAAAATATGGCACTTTGATAATTTATTTGATAAATCAGGATTGACAATCTTAATATGGTTGTTATAACAGCCAGAAAATAAGGAAAATATAAAAAACTCAGTTTTGTTGTTTTTAGAGAAAAATGACATAATTATTGTGTTCTGTCATTAGCTGCTTTGTATATGCTTGACACTTTGGGATTAGATACAGGTAAATAGAAGGACACTTTGTACTGACATTTACCATTTATATTTATATTTAAAAATATAAAGAGGGTGTAAAGTGCCCTGCTTTTAAGAAGCTATTGTTTTAGAATTTTCTACTTGAATATATATTGTCATCTATAAATCCAGTCATTTTCTTTCTATGATGGATTACCTTATCAGTTTGAAATAAAATCCAGCATTGGATGGGTGGGTTAGATATTTTGAAGTAAGAATGGCTCTTCAGGAATATGACACTCTGATAATGTTTTCAAGGATTGAAATTTTAACCACTAGGAATCTTTATAAATATTTACCCCAAGACTGATGTACCTTAGAGAACTTTCCAGTAGTGTGCCTCATCAAAACCCTGAGGACCAGAATCCTCCACAGCCACCCAGCTGGCTGTGCCCAGGCCACAGTGTGTGTCTTCCCTGACACCCTTGGCTATCAGGTTGTCTCCACCAATATGAGCTCACTCTTCCAGGAAATTCTTGCTCAGGAATAAAAATTGAAAATATTTTCATTATTTGTTCTGGGAACTTCTTAACAATACATTGGTCTGAACAGAAACTACTCAATATATTCTGGGAATATCCCTCTTCAGGACCACATGCTCTGAAATGATAGTTTTCTCTCCGAGACTCACTTGGAAAATCCAGCTATGCCATGTGCATCTCTTCTAAACTTGTTATGTCGTGAACTTGCCTAATTCTAATCAGTCTCACATTCAAAGGCCCTCCTTAAATCAGACCTTCCAAAACACACAAACATCCCACTTTGCCTGCCCCTCTCCACAGATGAGAAAACCTTGTCAAGGGGGACTAAGTTCTTTGTATCAACAGATTATTTCAGCTGTATTCTTTTAGAGCAGCATTTGACAGACTCAAGTAATTCCTACACACAGACTAGAATATATATCTATGTCCTCAGTTTTCAGTAAACAGGTAGAAAAATGACTTAATTTTGAATCATCAAAAATCTAAAGGCTTAATTCTAAATATTACCAACAACCTTCTTGGATATTTCTGTGAACATAAAAGAAAACTTGAATGATAACTCTCTCCCACATGCCCTTTCCATCTCCAGAAGATCATCTAGATCAGAGGTAAAAAATATATAAACAATGAACAGAACCAGGGGGAAATGAAGAAAAAAAAATAAAAATAAAAACAGAGGAAAGAGGAGGAGGAAGGAAAGAGAAGCAACAAAGACAAGAAAAATGATCATTTCCTGGTAACACATAGTTTTTCAAAAGTCAATAAAAAGTGAGTACAAATTCTTTATAGTCAACAGCAGAAGTTAATTCATGGGCGTGGACAGGCACAACGCCGGCTCCTGTTCCCACAGGTACAGCAAAGCACTCTGACGCTTTTTTTAAGTTGTGTGTATGTGTATTTTAACATGTATTTAGTGCTTAGTGTTCACAAGGAGTTTCCTAAGCACTTCACAAATATTTAATTCTCATAGTCTGTGAATTATGAATGATTATAATCATCACACATTTCAAAAAGAATTCACAAAGTGGCTAAGTAACTCGTGCACAGCTGAGGACAGGTTTATGCCTTCCCTTCTCTACTCTTCCCCATCTGTTCTGCCTATTCTCTCCCTCAGCCTCTGGCCTGCATCTGTCCCTTCCCTGGCTCACCTTCCTGCACTTCCTTCACCATCTAAAACAGTAGTTTGCCGAGCACTGAATCATGGCTGGTGTCATAGGGTGAAATAAATATATTTGGGTATATTGCATTGAATAACATATTTTTGTTTAATTTTATTTTCTTTTTACTTATTTTCAATATAACCTCTAGAAAATATAAAGTTACATTTTTATTGAATGGTGTGCTGTCTGACCATTCATTCTCCAAGAAGCTAAAAGAATGTTCAAAAAAAGGGGGGGAAAAAAGAGAAAATATTCTACTTTTTACTGTTTCTATAACTCCAAAATTACAATGCTTTTTTCTCTTTCTCTTTTGAGGGAGAAATCCTAAGAATATGAGAATAGTTGAGAACTATTTACAT